CGGCGCGGCCGCCTCGGAGGCGCCTCCCGCCCCGCTCCCTCCGGCCGCGCACACGCACGGCGGAGCCGCGGCCCCCCGGACCTCCGCCTGCCCGGGCGGCACGGCTGCGGAGAGGCTCGTGCTCGCCGCCGCCTCCTCAGCCACGCCGCCGTGTCGCCGTTCTGCCTCTGCGGGCTGCGGCGGTTCCCGCTCCGTGCGGGGCGGTTGGGCCGGCCGGCCTTTAAGGGTTCTCGCAACCGTTCCGTGCCCAGACCCCAAGCGAGCGGCTCGAGGCTGCGCTGCCGCTCCGTGCCGGCTGAGCACCACCAGAGCACGGGCCCGGCTGTGATCGTCAGTGCTTCGGGTAGCACATCTGCCTGCCCTTCGCCATCGCTTTATGCGCAAACTGAGCACGGGCAGGCGAGGCACAGAAGTGCTGTGAAAATGCAGGAGGTGCAGAACTTCTGCCTTATGTGCCGGCGCTCTCCTTATGCTGCACGTTTCTACATATGCAGACAAATATATGAGTCTGTCGTCTTAGTAGCCCGCCTCAACCCCCAGCAATCCTGCAGAAGCACGGCAGTGTTCTGTGGAAGCCTCAAGGCAGACAAGAGCTTTGTCATGTTACGCTGACATCCAAAAGCTCGTCAGTGGTTTGTTTTTCAACACATTTCCTTCTAAAAGTAAAAGCAGTTTCTGTCAGTAAACCCATGACTCACGGCAGCAGCCAGGCATGGCATGCTAAGCATAACCCCCAGCTGGCCATCAGTCCTGATGTGGAACCACGCTCTGCCGCAGGAGCGCCAGCAGCCATGGGAGCGGCACACTTTGCTCAGGGCATCCTACGACCTTGGTCTTAAAACGGCTGCATGTGAGATTAGGCAAAGTCCCAAATGCAGAGCATCACCTGCATTGTTTCCCGTGGCTTCAAGCATCCCAGATTGGCCACCGCTTCTGTTTTCACTCTTGCTTGTATTTTTGTTCCTCAGTTCTTTGGGTGAGCCCTCAATCACTATGGGGTTTTCCATAGAGCCAGAACGTCCTTCGAGGTTTTTAATTCACAA